TTTTAAAAACAACCAAACCTACAAAACCTCCAGCTACAGCTACAGCTACCAGTTCCTCCACATATAGGCCTACTGATGTCATAGGCCTACCTAGGGGAGTTTTAAAAACAACCAAACCTACAAAACCTCCAGCTACTAGTTCCTCCACATATAGGCCTACTGGTGTCATAGGCCTACCTAGGGGAGTTTTAAAAACAACCAAACTTACAAAACCTCCAGCTACAGCTACAGCAACCAGTTCCTCCACATATAAGCCTACTGGTGTCATAGGCCTACCTAGGGGAGTTTTAAAAACAACCAAACCTACAAAACCTCCAGCTACAGCTACAGCTACCAGTTCCTCCACATATAGGCCTACTGGTGTCATAGGCCTACTTAGGGTAGTTTTAAAAGCAACAAAACCTCCAAAACCTCCAGCTACAGCTACAGCTACCAGTTCCTCCACATATAGTCCTACTGGTGTCATAGGCCTACCTAGGGGAGTTTTGAAAACAACCAAACCTACAAAACCTCCAGCTACAGCTACCAGTTCCTCCACATATAGGCCTACTGGTGTCATAGGCCTACCTAGGGGAGTCTTAAAAACAACCAAACCTACAAAACCTCCAGCTACAGCTACAGCTACCAGTTCCTCCACATATCGGCCTACTGGTGTCATAGGCCTACCTAGGGGAGTTTTAAAAACAACCAAACCTACAAAACCTCCAGCTACAGCTACAGCTACCAGTTCCTCCACATATAGGCCTACTGGTGTCATAGGCCTACCTAGGGGAGTTTTAAAAACAACCAAACCTACAAAACCTCCAGCTACAGCTACAGCTACCAGTTCCTCCACATATAGGCCTACTGGTGTCATAGGCCTACCTAGGGTAGTTTCAAAAGCAACAAAACCTCCAGCTACAGCTACAGCTACCAGTTCCTCTACATATAGGCCTACTGGTGTCATAGGCCTACCTAGGGTAGTTTCAAAAGCAACAAAACCTCCAAAACCTCCAGCTACAGCTACAGCTACCAGTTCCTCCACACATAGGCCTACTGGTGTCATAGGCCTACCTAGGGTAGTTTCAAAAGCAACCAAACCTACAAAACCTCCAGCTACAGCTACCAGTTCCTCCACAACTGGTATACAAAGATCTATGGACCGAATTGTTGTTGTCAACATTGCTTAAATATTTATAATTTAATCATTATATTTCTTTTAATTTTGAAACTTAATACTGTATTACATATTTATTCAAGTTATTCGAGGTTAAAAAATATAATACATTTGTTTTCATCCCGCCCGTTCGCAAGATTTAGTTTTTAAATCCACTAAAATATATGAGACAGTCGATTCTTTGCTCGGGGTCCCATTATGAACATGTTCTAACACATTGTAACAAGATTACGCCAAACTTTCTCGTGATTGGATCCAAAGCCGGTCTCGGAAATGGAATTTGATTGCAATCTGTGAAGTCGTCGACAGCTGATATTGCTGGATTTATTAAACCCTTGAGCTGTGGTTATTGTTTCTGACTAGACTATTTTTCAGTTTATGTTACATTGAGCTGCAAACATGTTTATTGATTTCGTGTGTATTTGCCGGAGGGCGTAATAGATATGTCTGGTAAAAATACTGTTCCAATATCTGAACCAGATTTTTTTTAGGGAGCGAAAGTGCAAAATCAATCTGCGGCTGGCTTTTCAAGATTGAAGAAAGATAATCTTTTAAAAAATCTTAGGACGGTTATATCTGACAGCCAAAAGTACTTTTGGTATAAGTTACCAGTTGTGTAGAATTGTTACCACAAAAAACATTTTAATTTTGATAAGTTTTTAATTTGAGGAAAATGCTTCCAAACATTAGTAACTAAATTTGATATCATAAAATTAGATTTAATCAGATTTAAATCATATTGTTTAATTTTTACCTAACTGTACATTTTATCACTTGGTGTTTAAATAATGTAACTGATCATCAATTAAGTTAATTTTTGTCGTTTCATGTCAGATAAAAGTAAAGGTTTTGAATTTGATAAGGGATATAAGCATTCTAAGAAAACCCTCAAATTACAGAACTGAACTGATAGGCCTATTGATTTTGTTACAGATTTCAATTACTTTTTAAGTAATTAAGATTGTTTACACAGGCTATTTTGTTTGTCTACTAAGTAAAACGCAATTATTTAATATTTTTAACCACAAGTGTTCAATTTTGTAAACATGTTTAACATTTCCTCGATTCTCTAGGAAGTTTTTCCAGACACAAAAGTGTTCATTTGCAGCTTCCACAGAAAGCAAGCCTGGAACAGATGGCTTTTTAGAACAAGCAATGCCTCAGTGCCAAGAAAGGAAGCACTGGCTATGCTCCGAAAAATAGCTTATGCCCCTAACAAAGAAGAAGCTCTGGCAGCTGTTAAAATTTTGACCACAACTAAAACTGTGTCTGATACTCTCCCGTCTTTTCTTGTATTGTTCCTCGTCTACATATAAGCTATTTTGTTACATAAAACCTTACATGTTGTAGATTAATATCGCAGGTGTCCTAAAAATCAAAATTGAAGTTTCAATAAATAATCCACTGTCTAAAGTGAGAGAATGCCTGACCCAGTGCAAAATCAAGCTGCGGCTGGCTTTTCAATATTGAAGAGAGATAATCTTAAAAAAATCTTGGGTCGGTTATACCTGACAAACGAAAGGACATTTGGTATAAGTTACCAGTTGTGTAGAACTGTTACAACAAAAAGATTTTAATTTTGATGCTTTCAACCTTTAGTTACTATCTCGATCTCATAAAAACTTGATTAATAATAAAAATTATTGTACGTGTTAAATTTACAAAGTAATTAAGAAAAAAAAAGTAAAACTTCATCATTATTAGGGCTAGGAAAAAAACATTCTACCCAATTTTCCTGAAAACCAGGATACTATTAAATTAGCGAGGATACATGTGCAAATCTTTGCACACTAACTAAATGAATGCGAACGCAATACCACAATCATCTACATCTGGGAAGGTAAGAAAAATTCGTGCGATAGTCGACGACAACTAGTCCAACATAGATTTAGATAAGTTCCTGAATCAGGTATATTTTCGGCCACATACACAAGCAGTTGAGAAAAATCATTATGAATATGACTTGCAAGAATGTTTAAAGAGCCACTCACTGTTTTTTTTTTTTTTTATCAAAACCAAAACATGAAAAAATTGTGCAAGAAATATGGTAATATCTCAGTGTTATTAGATGCTACCTATCGGACTTGTAAATATGCCCTTCAACTTTTGTTGTTGTTGTCAATACGAATGTTAATTACCAACTGGTAGGCGTGTGATAACTCAATTTGAAACAAAAGAGGTCATCTTTGAAGGCCAGGGCAAAATCAAAGATTATAATCCTGATGTAATATCATGTATGTCATGGTTTATTTTTTTAGGGCCGGAGATAGTAGCTAGTAGCTACTATCCCCGGCCCTGGATTTTGCCAGAGGAAATTTCAATTCTTGAGGAAATTTTTCCCACAAAGGTATTCATTTGCAGCTTCCACAGTGAGCAAGCCTGGAAAAGATGGCTTTTAAGAACAAGCAATGCCTCAGTGCCAAGAAAGGAAGCACTGGTTATTCCCCGAAAAATATCTTATACCCCTAACAAAGAAGACGCTCTGGCAGCTGGGGAGGAATTAAGAACAAATAATTAAAAATTTAATCATTAAAGAAGAATTGAATATTTAGTTGACCAACACAACAGTCAAAAGATATTTTGAGGGTAAATGGTTTAAAGAAATAGTAAGATGGGCCACTGCCTTTAAACCCAATGACTTCCACATAAATACCAACAATGGCGTGGAGAGAATGATCAAACAGCTCAATTATGGATATTTAGAAGGCTCAAAGGCTGTTTACTTTCTGAGGTTGTGAGGAATGTTGTGGAAGAATTCCTTCCACATAGGTACAGGATTTACTAAAATGAAAATCGAAATGATTCCAAAATACATCAACAATATGATGGCACAACCCCGAACGAGAGGCCAAAATGGTTAGTTAAGTTATGTTGATTAAAGCTGAATCTATTCCCAGCAATGTTTCGGAAAACATTTGCCAAACAGGAACCTTCTGAAGGAATAGACTACAATGTTAATTTAAAGGAATAGCTTCAGTTGCACTTGCCCAAACTTTTCCAAATATCGTAATTACTCAGCATTATTAGATTCTACCTATCATACCTATCGATATGCCCTTAAACTTTTGTTGTTGTTGTGAATACAAATGTTAATTACCAAGTGGTAGGAGAGATCATAACTCAATTTGAAATAAAAGAGGCCATCTCTGAAGGCCTCTTTACGTCCGCGCTAAACGTCGGGACCACATAAGTTTGCGGTTGAGGGAGGAGCCTATTAACCATTTGGTTTTTAATGGACCAATGTGAACCGTGCGGTGTTGCCAAATCTAATAATACCAGCTGATTTGAAAATATTGCTTAGTATATTCTAATTAGTGTTAGTATTGTCAACGGGCGATGTGGCAACGTCGTACTAGCCTTGTCTTGTGATTGGCTGCCACCAACTGCAAACTTACGTGGTCCCGACTCTAGTTGAGTTTTTACTCTACCTGTAAATATGCCCTTAAACTTTTGTTGTTGTTGTTGTGAATACAAATGTTAATTACCAACTGGTAGGAGTGTGATAACTCAATTTGAAATAAAAGAGGCCATCTCTGAAGGCCTAGGCAAAATAAAAGATTGGAATCCTGATATAATACCAAAGTATGCTATGGTTGATTTTTCCACAGAGGAATTTTTGTCCCATACATCGTAATAACTCAGTAATATTAGATTCTACCTATCATACCTGTAAATATGCCCTTAAACTTTTGTTGTTGTTAATTGGTAGTAGTGATCATAACTGTATTTGAAATAAAAGAGGCCATCTCTGAAGGCCTAGGCAAAATCAAAGATTGGAATCCTGATATAATACCAAAGTATGCATACTAGGTATGAGTACTAGGAGCAAGTCCCAACGACTCCTTCAATAGCTGGTGGTCACAAAAACTCCATAGCAAGTGTCTCCCAGTCTCACCCTCTTGCAATTTTCAATCGCTCCGCTTGACTCCGCTCCAGCCGTCTCCATCAACTGGTGATGGAGACCAGGCTTCAAAATCTTGGTTGATTTTTCCACAAAGGAAATTTTGATTTTTGAGGACGTTTTTCTAGTAGCTGGAATAAGGCCCTTTTTCAGGAGAACCTGAAATTGGATTCTCCATGTTCTCAAGTGTTTCCCTGCCAAATTTCATTGAGTTGTCTTGTTTGGTTGTGTTGCTATGTATGTTTAAAGCAGCTGGTGTCATAGGCCCTTCTTCCATAGAACAGGTGTTGAAAGCTTTTAATGAGTGAGGTTAGTTTTGTATACTGTGTTTTATATGTGTTTATTATATTAAATCAAGAGAAAATGCTTAATGAGCATGGAAGTGAGTGACAGAAATAGTGTGTTGCAAGAATGAGTAATATAAGGGGCTAAATATACGCCTACTTCAAGTGAAAAATGGAAGCAGAATGTGGCAAGAAAAGGAAGTCTGGTGAGGCTGTATCTAAGTCTACAGGTAAAGAAGTACCGTGAAAGACATTTACTAGAGTTTCTGAATGTTGCAAAAGAAATGTTATAATACATTTTCAGTACTTGACCAAAGGTATTTATTTGATAGTTTTTGGAGTGGTCAGTCAAAAGAAACCCAAGATGTCTTTTTGTCTGGCTGTATAAGTTTACACACTTCTCTTAGGTCTAGAAGAGAGCCCACCTAAAGTAATGAGGGAACAGTGTTGGGAATACCATTTAAAAAAAAAACGAATAGAAAGCGTTCAAGTGTGCAGATCGTTTTTAGTAAGCTTATTTCAAGTTTCAGTAAAGCGCATTCGAGTAGTTCTAAAGAAAATCATAGAAGGTCAGTAATTTGAGGAAAGAAGTGGCCAACATGAAAATCGCCCAAAGAAGCTATCAAAAGAGGTTTTGCAACTTGCAATGGCTCACTTGAAGTCCATTCCCAACCATGCAAGTCATTATTCTGCAAACAAACATAAAAGGCTATATTTTTTAAATCCAGATATGACGATAAAACAGATTTACGAAGAGTTAAAAAAGTATTTTGATGAGAAGACTGGTGAGCATTTAACTATGGCCTATAAGACCTACTTTAAAATTTTAAAGAAACAAACTTCGCTTTTAAAAAACCTAAATCGGATACGTCTTGGCAAAAGATTGCCAAAAATCCTCATGATGAGTGCAGGGTACAGTTTGATTTACTCAAGAGGAAGGCAAAAGCTTTTTTTGATATGAAGAACAAGTTTATTGAAGAGGCAAAAAATGAAGACAATGGTACAGTAGTCCTTGAATTCCAGACTGTAAATGAACAGTTCTACAAACGGTTACTATGGCTATACCTTTTTAATGTTCACTGCCACAACGATGGAACTTCTCTTATGTATACCTTTATAGAGTCAAAAACAAAAAAGGGGCCAATTCAGTGTGCTCTTTTCTCTATGACTTTTTCAAGAGGAAGGCCGACCAGTTAGATCCCGTGCTAGAAGTATGCAATATGGGGTTAGCAAAATAAAAAATGTGATGGATTATGTCAAAGAAAAATTTATTAAACTTTATAGGCATAGCCAGTTTATTTCTGTAGATGATTAAACTGATAATTTCAAAGGGAGTGATGTTAAAAATGTACAACCCTAAAAAGTCCACTGAGTGGGGCCTCCTCCTTTACATAAACACTTTATGTTCCACAAAAATCATGTTCCTATAGTAATTTATTGTTGAAAAGTAAGGTGAGTTTTGGCAGACTATGGAATCAGCCAGGTCACGTGACTCCTCGTGACCAATAAAAACAGAGCTGAGATGCAAAACAACCAACTGAGCTAACCTAAATTCAACTCTTCAACTGTGAGTAGTTTCTGTGTGTATCATTGCAAGTTTAACACAACTATTATTCACAAACTTACTATTCAATTAAATTTGGGAGAAGATGGAGGACTTTGTGCCACCTATAGCTGAAGGAGAAAGGCCTACGAGGAGGACTCCTAATAGAAATAACTATAAAAAAACCAAAGATAAGATAGCCAGGTAGGTCTAAGCTAGTCCATTACATACCATAACGTTGGACCCTAACTTAAGAAATATTTTAATTTTAGGCCTATACGCTCTAGAACCAATAAAACTAAAGAAAAGCCTCAGTTGAAAAGGACCACAAAATACTTTGTTCGGGACAGAGAAGGAGGAAAGATGCCAGTATGACTAGTTTTATGGGAATCCTGAATGTGTCCCGTTTTCGAGTAAATAGGCTAACCAAAAACTATCAAAGAGAAGGAGAGATTAGGGAGAAACGTGGAGGATTTCGTATGTCTAAAAAGTATGATGACCAAAATAAGTGTGTAATGAAGTTCATTAACAAACAAAAACAAAGATTGGAATCCTGATATAATACCAAAGTATGCCATGGTTGATTTTTCCACAGAGGAAGTTTTTTCCAGTATTCATTTGCAGCTTCCAAAGGAAGCAAGCCTGGAACAGATGGCTTTTAAGAACCACGCTTTTAAGAAATGCCTCAATGCCAAGAAAGGAAGCAGTGCCTGGCTATGCTCCGAAAATAGCTTATGTCCATAACAAAGAAGAAGCTCTGTTAGCTGCGGAAGAATTAAGAACTAAAGATTATGTTTACCAACACAACACTCAAAAGATATTTTGAGGGTGAATGGCTTAAAGAAATAAAAAGATGGGCCACTACCTTTCAACCCAATGACTTCCACATAAATATCAAAAACGGCGTGGAGAGAATGAACAAAGATATCAAATATGGATATTTAGAAGGCTGTTCACTTCCTCAAGTTGTGAGGAATGTTGTGGAAGAATTCCTTACACATAGGTACAGTATTTCTTAAAAAGAAAATCTAAATGTTTCTTAAATACACCAACAATATGATGCCATAACCCCGCACGAGAGGCCGAAATGGTTAGTTAAGCTTGTGTTGACTAAAGCTGAATCTATTCCCAGCAATGTTGCCGATAACATTTGCCAAACAGGAACCTCTTTATTTTGTGTTTCTTCATAATCTGAAGGAATAGACTACAATGTTAATGTAAAAGAATAGCTTCAGTTGCACTTGCCCAGACTTTTCCCAAGAAAGGCTGATTTTCAAGCACATCATAGCCATTGGCTTTAAGTACTCAAGCTGAGAAATGGAAAAGATCAACAAACAGCTTTTCACAGATCCTGTTTTAAATATTGACGAGGACCTGTTTCAAAATGAATGCAAGAATGCAAAACTGGAAGATAACGTAGATCATACATATTATTTATCTATAAAACATTTTTTTAAATAATTTTTTCACTTTTAAGATATTACCAGTTAAAAAAGGTAATATCAATTTTCACATTTATTTATCATCATCATCATTATTCTAATTCCCTAAGGAATTTCTTGTGCACAGCAAAACTCTTTTATTTATCAACCGATTTTGATGATTGATGTGTCAAATTAAAGGGAATTATCTGCAGAAGTCATGGAATAATGTTTGTCACGCTCAGTTCAATGTGCTTCGCCCCACTGGACTTTAAAGTTTTCATGTATTTTTAAATATAAGTGAAAATTTAGTTAAGTTTATCAAACATATGATTCATTTCCTTTAAAAAACATCTGTCTTCAAAAAAATAACCTCTTTCCCTTATGTCATTTTAATATTTACTTTTTCTGTTTATATATCAATTTACTTTCAAATACAATTATGACTGATGAAATGGATAGATCACCTTTATGGGCAATGTTTAAAAAAATTCTCTTGCTAAAAACATGAGAGCTAATCCAAGCGAATCAACATTTGCTGAATATCTTTTACGAATAGGGAATGGCCATGAGAGCTATCATAATGATCTTGGTGATTCATTGATACGTCTTCCACCACAATGAATGAAAATATCATTGACAAAATCTTCAGTGAAGGATTCTCTGAAGATGATTTAAAAAGACAAAAATCATACAATACTATCACCAAAGAATGAACATTGTGACAAAATATATAATAAAATAGTTGAGCAACCAAATAATGACAGTCGAGTTTATTACTCAGTTGACACCTTGATTCAAGAAGAGGGAGACCAGTTACAATTACCTGATGAATTTCTTCACACTTTAGCACCAAGAGGTTTACCCTCACAAATTATGCCTTTAAAAAGGTGTAATTGTAATTTTACTAGGGAATTTAAATCCACAAAAATGACTGGTTAATGGAACCAGATTAATGGTAAAGAGATTAATAACATTGTTCTTGATTGTTAGAAAAAGCAATTTTTACCTTAAAAACTTTTTCATGAGATTTAAAAAATAACCTTTTTTCCTTATGTCATTTTAATATTTACTTTTTCTGTTTATTTATCAATTTACTTTCAAATACAATTATGACTGATGAAATGGATAGATCACCTTTATGGGCAATGTTTAAAAAATTTCCCTTGCTAAAAACATGAGAGCTAATCCAAGCGATCAACATTTGCTGAATATCTTTTACGAATAGGGAATGGTCATGAGAGCTATCATAATGATCTTGGTGATTCATTGATACGTCTTCCACCACAATGTATTGTGAATGAAAATATCATTGACAAAATCTTCAGTGAATGATTCTCTGAAGATGATTTAAAAAGACAAAAATCATACAATACTATCACCAAAGAATGAACATTGTGACAAAATATATAATAAAATAGTTGAGCAACCAAATAATGACAGTCGAGTTTATTACTCAGTTGACACTTTGATTCAAGAAGAGGGAGACCAGTTACAATTACCTGATGAATTTCTTCACACTTTAGCACCAAGAGGTTTACCCTCACAAATTATGCCTTTAAAAAGGTGTAATTGTAATTTTACTAGGGGATTTAAATCCACAAAAAGGACTGGTTAATGGAACCAGATTAAAGGTAAAGAGATTAATAACATTGTTCTTGATTGTTAGAAAAAGCAATTTTTACCTTAAAAACTTTTTCATGAGATTTAAGTCCTAAATCTTGAAATTATTACTGAATGTTCGGCTGGAAAACGAGTGTTACTGCCCCAATTAAGTTTAGAACCATCGGAAGGCAATTTTTCCCTAAAATTCAAACGTCGACAGTTCCCATGTCGAGTCACTTCTGCCATGACCATAACAAAAAGTCAAGGACTGACACTTG